AATAGATAGCTTCTTTTTGGTAGGCCATCGCTAGTAGGTTGGAGGCCACAATTAGGGTAGACTCTGTTAAGAGTTAGAGTAGGCTAAGTAGGCCAGCTGCCCGAGCAGCCACAGGCTCGAAAGTGCGACTTCATTCCAAACAGCGAGGTACTTGCATGGTCAGAACCCCACCATTGTGCACCGGGACCTGAAATCGTTGAACGTTGTCCTTGATCTGAGTCTCAACATCAAGGTGGGACAAGAGGGACAAGAGGATGGACTATGGACACTTTCACTGAGCCTTTTGTACTCAATGCTGCCCAAAAATGAAGCTTGGTAGTCCTTGCAAAAACAGAAGTTACACATGCCCAGTAGGGCAGTGGGCAGTAGCTTAGTAGTGTGCTCAGGATCTCAGATTCCAAGTCTTTGGGGCGAAGAGAGATGTTTGTTGGCTGAACTGTACCACTTTTCGTCGCCATGATGCTCAAGGGTTTGTCCGCGGTTCGTGCGCCCTTGTTAACGAACAGTTGAGAGGCCGAGAGTTTGCAGTTGTTTTCGGTCACCGTCAGTGTACAAGCACACAGAGTGTGTCCTTTCCAGCAGACCCATGTCATAGGGGAAGACCGAGCTTTCTTGTTTTTAGGAGAATTTCAATATCCTAGCAGATGAAGGCAGATCTTGGTGATGAACTGCGGCAGGATGGGCTGCAGTGGAAGTAGCAAGGTACAAAGCTTTGAGCCAAAGGAGACTCAGGAGAGGTTTGAGATTTCAACAGATTTCCGAGACTCACGCAGTTCGTTGGAATCCGTGGGAACCTCTTCAGAGCAGAAGCTCCAACAAGTGTGCAAGTGTGCAAAACCTCTCCCGATACATCGCCTCATCGCATGATAGTCACGCCGTGACCAGGTTGGCCTCCTTCCTTGAGGTAACACTTATCAAGCAAGTCAAGTCCAAAGACTTTCATTAGGCTGAAAGGATAGGCTCTCACCGTTGAAACCTGACAGGAAGGTCATGTGTTATGACAAGTGCATCTAGGGTTGGTCGTTTCTCGTCGTTGGATGTGCAAAAGGATACGTACTAGTTGAGTTCGATTCGCGATCGCAGCAACCAGATTTGCCAAAGCAGAGATGAAGTCCTGTTAAGAAGGTTCGGCTGTACACACGCATGTATAGACACGTTTAAACACGTTAAAATAACATATATTGGCCATATTGGCGTTTATACAAGTAATTATATGTTGTAAATCGAATGCAAAAGACTCAAAAGGCGGATTCATGAAAATAGAGGCGCACATGGATTCTGATTCCGCAGCAACTTGCAGCTCAAAGAGACTCCAACTGCATGAAGCTCAATCACAACAATGGGCATGATGACTTGTAGGAGCCGAAAAAGGCACCAAAGAGAAGCTCGATTCAGCTGGGCCCTCGCTGCCTGGCTGAAGAAGACTGGGTAATTAAGAAGCACACCCATTGACCTTAATTTCCGTGGATTCGAGCTAGCTGCTAGCTTAAATTAAGGTATCATCGAAGCACTGGTTTTCGGAGCACATCCGGCCCAGCTGCAGCACATGTGTTCGAGTGCATGTTTGCGAGGGGTCACGTTGTGAAGAAGACATTTTGTACTAGATATACATAAATACACGTATATTTTGGGTTTGTCCCATTTCCTGTAACAGTCAGTAAACAATTATCACTATTTTTGAACAAGGCCTTTACGAACCATCATCCCACTGTTGCTACTAATAGGATAGACCCAATGTGCATATATATATATATAACCCACCAGGTTCACTTAAGACAGTGATCGTTTTCTCATGCACCGCTTTACATCAGCCCACGTTTGATCCACAAGTCCAGTATATTGACCTGAATCTCACCGAATCCTGCAAGCGTCTTGTAACTCCAATCTCGCAGAGTGCACGCAACACGCCCTTGTGCATGCTGCATGAAACCGCCCCCACACGCCCGGAATACTCCACCTTAACACATCAAGATGTGTGAGACGAACGGGCGAGTGGCCCATCCCATGCCTTTAGCATCTTCGGCTGAGGAAGAGAATCCGAATGTGAGGCTCCTGAAATGATGGGGCACTTCAACTCCTGGACTGAGGTGAGATACATCACCCTTTGTGGAACGTAAAGTCAATAAAGATTGTTTTACTTGTCCGACTTCTGTTCACTAGGAAGATCTAGCAAGAGCGACAATCAGAATTGCCTTTTGAGATGCCAATTTCATTGTGATTGGAGGCAAGTTTGACAGATCTGGAGCTTTTCAAGGATGGAAAGCCTTTGCCAATCAACAAGTGACTTGGCCAAATGCCTTGGCCAAATCAGTCGCTTTTCATCCAGTTTGGATACTGAGGACTGCAGACAAGCAGCTGACCAAGAAGAGAAACACATCCTTGCGTGCATTGCTGAGGGGTCAATTTGGGGTGGATAATGGTGGATAGGTGCAAGTTCTCCAAAGGTGTCGTGAGTATATAGTTTGAAAATGTGACCAGGTCGTTTGAAACTGTGCGGAGAAAACTGATAGTGCAGATGTTGCGGCTTTCTTGGCACCGGTTTTATCGCCGAGTCGAGCTTCTGGATAATCCTGCAAACTTGCACTGGGAAGTGGTGATGAAGCGTATGGATTTGGAGGAGGCCTCATGTACTTTGTTCAGGTACCATGAGTATCAAGAATTCTCATCAAGAACCATGCTCTTTGAGTTGAACGGGATTCCAACTCCCGAAAGATTTGAGCAGTCCCCGCTCCAGGGCTGCGAGGTCGACGATTCGCTTCCCGGCCTGAACATCATCTCCGACAACTCCAACAGTATCATGAATTTCAGGGAAGTCAAGCTGCCGCAGATCAAGTGACTTCGGCAGAAATGGGCAAATCACAGGCAGTTCCAAGTATATAACTTAACTGTTTGACTTGTTCAACATGTTCAATTGCACCGGTCACCATTTGTTGTGCTTGTAGGTGCTGTCAACGGCAAGAGGTGAAGATCTAGAGCTGGACAAGCATGGCCAGAGAAGGCGTTTTGCTTTGCCCTGCCCAGCCGCCATTTGGTGCACAGCATGTGCAAGAAAAGAGAATACTCTTGGTCCAATATATAATAAACTGATTTGCCAAGCCGGCAAGAGCTGCCGTTGGTGCTGGAATCCCACAGGTTGTATACTTGGGTTGCACCAGAAGGACAATTCTCGGAATTTGTTCTCAGATGATGTCAGTTACGCATGAGATTCCAGCATATCCATGGCCATCGTCACGTGTGTATGGTTGGAACCGTATACTATAGTGAGCTCAAGATTTGCATGAGATTATGTGTTTATGACTCCAGGCAATCATGTTTGTGCACACATTAGTCCGTTTGATGTTGAATGTCCCACTTGTATGAATGCCCCGATAGCCAGAAATAAAAGAAGCGTTGCTGTTGCTCCTTACAGAAGCCACTGACATCGAACGCCAGGAGTGTTTCGAATCGGTGTGCCAGCTGCGCACAGATTTGGCACCCCGTCGACTTGTTCCACTCGTTTTCTGGGTTTACCAACTCCGCGGTCAAAATGCCAATATCCTATGATGATCCATGGTACCGGAATTGTGGCACCTTTATTTCATTCCTCACTTTCTCATACTTACACGGTCTTTCACTTGCAATTACGTGTCATCATGTGTCATTGTTTGATCTGAAAAAAGACATTCCGGCAGATCCATGGTGTCATTGGAGCCCAGATTTGGCCGTGGACAGCTGCGGTCGTTTAGGCTGGTGTGTGATGGTTCACAATTGCTTGCGAGGTTGATCATGGTTGATGTATGTTCATCACCTTTTTCTGGGGTGACATGCAGCATCCATGTTCAATATTCTAAAGTGAATAAATTCAAGTCATGAGTTTTCGCCTTCTTTGCTTTTGTTTATCCATTGGCACATGTTGCACATTTAAAACGGTTTCAATAAACCATTGTGACTGTCGCATTCCAAAGACTCGAGCCCAACTCAAGTCCTACTCGAGTGGCTGAGCTTCCTGAGAATTCCAGGAACCATTTGGTCCGAGAGCCTAGCCCCCGAGCGTCGAAAAGCGAAGATCTGACAACAAGGCGCTGTTGGCAGGTCGACGTCCCTGGAGCTTTCATTCGTCGCTGAGACTTGTTCATTTGCCTCAGAACATGGAACATGTTTGATCCTTTATGGATTTGCGGCTGCGATGCTCAAGTTTATGGTACAGCAGATATTGTAGGTGTAGGAAAGACAAAGAAAAGGATGGGCTGCAGTCAAAGCGCAGCTGGGGTGAAAGGCCCTAGCTTGGAGCAGAAACAGGACGGACAATCCCCTATCCCGTCGGTGTTCTCTTTAGATGCAAGAACACAACCTAAAGACGCGTGGTATGTTTTGCAAGAATGCGTCTTGGAGGTCGTGATGTCTTGCGCTAGATTGCGTTGCCACCTTGTGTACACATGTAGTTCTGGTGTGTATTCTTTGTGGGAGTCGCGGTCACGAAGCCGCATCGATTCATGGGAAAGACTTCCCATCGACTTGGGGAGGGTCGGTTGGATCATTGCGGGGAACATCACTCAACATGGCTCAACCCACAAGTAGCGTCCTTTGCCCCTAGTAGCGATGCCAGGAGCCCCTAGTAGCGTCCTTGCTCCTAGTAGTAAGGCCAGGAGCCCCTAGTAGCTTCTAGCTACTAGTCCAATGAACATGATTTGTTTCTCAAGTGCTGCCATCTCAATGCGAGTGAAAGGGAGTGGCAGCATTGCCTGTGTGCTGCGTATGTAGATGAAGTTGAACTCTGTGGGGGAGTGAAGAATTCTTCCTACTACAGTTACTACAGTAGAAAGCTAGCTCTTGAAGAACGGGGGCAGGGAAGGAAGGACGGGCAGAAAGAATGAAGGTCAAAAGCTCTAAATCAGAAAAGAAAGAGATGTCTAAAGTGTCTAAAGTCTAAAGACTCTAAAGATTAAACATGATTAAACAAATTAAAATTGGAAAAGAAAAGGGTATTTCACAACAAAAGAGCCAAACCAAGCTTTTTGCAGGATCGGAATGATGCCGTGCACACCTTTGGACAGACCGTGGAGCGGAAGAAGGTGAGTGACATGAGAGCTGGTTTGTTCGTCTCTGGATTTGCATGTTCTACCTCTGAAGTATGCAAGCAGCTGCTAAGCAGCTGTTCGTTTGGCCTCGGGCCTCGTAGTTGTGAGGCCAAAGAGAGTGCCAAAGACAAGGACCCCAAGGAGGCTGGTACCACCCGGTTTGCCCAATATCGCTCTGGTAGCAGCCCTGACCGAGAACTCCCTTACCTCCATTCCTTCCCCCAAAAAACAATTCCCAAACACCAGTTGATCCACAGCGGAGGAACGAAATGTTTTTACGGATGAACATAGTGGAGGGGTAGAAGAACCGGTTGAAGTCAAGAGGATGTAGTGAGTTGCAGGCATTTTGTGAGGTTTTCAAAGGATAGATCGAGTGTGATGAGAGAATCTCTTGGGGGCCTCGGCCGGATTTTGTTCACATGTCGAGCAGGCTGGGGTTGATGAAAAGATCGCCGAGCTGAACAAATGTAAGATTCAGATTGGCGAGCGCAACCTGTCAAGATTCGATTTCGATTGCACCCCCCCAAAAAAAAGAATGATGTCTTAAATGAATCGAACAATCACCAAGGATCGGAAGCAGAATGTGCCCCACCTGAAGTGCAGTTGGACTTCGACTCCTGGAAGCATGAGGTCGGAATGATCGATATCACACCGGAGCGACACGCAAGCGACTGGGTCAGGTCGATTCTGCTGACTTGAAGAATATGAAAGCAGGACACGTACTGCCTGTGAACAAGCAACTCTTCTGAAGATCAAAGTCACAGTGCTTTCAACTCGGACATGCTGGCATACTTGTTTCCAAGGGCAGCACAGCAGTATTTCAACAAGAAGACGCAAAAGAGCCTGAGTGTGAAGCTCAGAATGTGTTCCACAAATTGAGCAAAGAGCAAACGTTCGATTCTCCCAAAGACCTTTCGCAAAAAGCACATCCTGTGCACTGCTTTTGAACAACGTGGTGCTATTTATTGCTTACATCAAAAGGAGGTAGGTGTAGAAGGTATCATGTTGGCATCATCGTCATTGATTCCGTCAGACCGTTTGCTCCAACTGCTGTCCTCGTCACGACTGTGCCCACCGTGTGAGCAAACCTGTTCACATGTGGCAGAGACAAGACACAGACATGCAGATCATTTGTGGTTCACGTGTTGTTCACCTCAATTTAAGAGCTACGCTTGGTACAATCCTGTTCCAGTTTTCAAGTTGGTTTCGTTGCCCTTTGCTGTCCTCCTCATAATCTCTTGCCATGTTCAGTTTATATTCGCAATGGTTCTCATATTGGATCATGTACCGCTTTCCTTTATGCATGGTTGGGATAGGGCATAGGGCTTTCCTGGTCGGGGCATGGGGCGGCTCATCCAAATGTTGAAAGCTGGAAATATCAAATATGCTGACTCACAACAAGAGACGCCGCAATGTGTGATGAACATACCCGGTGCATGGATCTCTATAGAACGGGGACCCTTGAAATCTACAAAATGCAATTCAGGGACCCATTGGATGATGAGGGCACCCTGGATGAAGAAGGCCAAAACCTGAACATGGCATTCTGTAGCCTGCTCATGTTCAAATACATGATCCTGGGTCATAGAAGATGAGATATTTGGAATGTTACAGCTGATTTGGAGCGGCTTTGAAGCTGTTGGTGAAGTGAAATCTCAAAGTAAAAACGGCCCACTTGTCCAGGACATTCGGCATTTAGTCGTGTTTCATCAGAAAACCGGAAACGGTCTGGTCAATCTCGTCGAGAGAAAACCCGGGCGATCCCAAAAAGAGACAATGGGGGAACCTTGAAAAGAAAACTATTATATCTAAAGTATGTGGAGTTATAACGAGTTATGTGGTTTTTGTTCCTTTCACTTTCCTTTTGCTTACTTACTTGGAAACCTCGCTTTCCCTATCACCTTGTTGTAAAAAATACTGCAAGTCTCTTTCTGATGGAACGTCATTTTATAGTCCTAGTCTCTTCTGGCTTATACTTCTGCAGTTCAGTTGGATTGTCATTTCATATCAAAGCAAAATTCCAGCTTTATGCGCCGCCGACCCACTTGCCAGACTTTATGTTGCTTAGAGTCAGTCACCTCATTTGATGGGTTTACATAGGCTAGCATTTCAAAGAGAGCCGAGGTTGGACATCCCATTCTATAGAGAGGTGTTTCTATAAAGTGCTTCGTAAACCTTTCAATACTCTATTCAGTGGGTATTGATGAGCAGCAATGCGCCAGTCGAGCTTGTGGAAGATCCTTCATCGCTGAAGAAATCGGTGAATATGCGGCGCATGGAAATGGAGGAGATGTCTTTTTTGCACCTGAGGGATGAAAGCAATCAAGAAGTGTGCTTCCGCATGTTGCTCCCCTTGTCCAAGTTTAGATAGCTGAGAACTTACAGTACCCTATCATTTGGACCTAAATTTTTGGAAAGGTGTGTGATGATGACATGCATGTGATGCAGTTAGAATAAGAATGTTCAAGCACAGAACAAAACCGTCGGTGATACCGTAGGTCCCGTTGACCTCAGGAGGTCGCAAGCTATTGTGCTGCCAGCAGCCTCAACGGGATTCCAGAGAATGACACCATCAAGGCCAAAGCTCAGGCTGATAGAGGTTCCAAAGAGAAGAAGAGACTTGGGCAAAATGGGCAAAAGTCACCAGAAATCCCTTCAATACTTGTGCACTGCACAAGAAGTTGCCAATCGCCGTTTAGAATTCAGAAAGGCTACCTATCAGGGCCAAGGAATTACTTTGGTACAGCCGGGTACGCAGTTCCTTCAGCCAAGGAAGCCCAGAGTTGAGATGATCTAGTCGTAGTCTCGCGGTCCTTCTGAAGCTCAGAAGCAGATGAATGTGGTCATGACTCAAGTATGTACGAACTCGGCACAGTTATGTCCTCAAAGCTTATCAAAGACCACATTTGCAGACTGCTGCAGCATCCGAACTGCGCGATTGCGCCTGGGAACTCCATCTGCAGAGTTCCTTTTTGGTGACTATGTAGTGCCCGCAAAGTTTTTTAATCTACCCTGCGGGTTCTCACCGGGCAGTGATTTACCCTGGCAACCGCTGGGCCAGGCTGCACGTTGTCCGGGATGAAATCATGTTTCTTACTTCTTACAGTTGGAGCTGTCAAACACCTGATGAAAAGCAACCACTAGGGTTGCTGTAGCTGGAAACCCTTCAGTCGCAAATCATTTGTCACCGGTACTCTTTAATGTTTGATTGCTCCAATTGTCCAGTGTGTGCCAGCCTGTTTGGCACGTTTGGAACGCTGACCACTCGCTCAGGAAGTCGTGGAGCTTCGACTCGAAGTCCACCCGCTCCGTTCGTAGCGATGCCCTTTGTTACTAGTAGCGATTCCCTTGCTCCTAGTAGCTTCTTGTTACTGCTAGTAAGGCCAGGAGCCCCTAGTAGCGTCCTTGCTCCTAGTAGCGATGCCCTTGCTCCTAGTAGTTTCTTGTTCCCAGTAGCTTCTTGCACCGCATGCAAGATTTGTTAAATCGGAGAGGGGGGGGTGCGTCAGCGAATGTGCTGCTTTTTGCCAGGCTAGTCGACTTCTTCGCAATGTCTTTATTCCTACTTTTTATTGATATAGGATCTCGGACTGTTTGAAGAGACTGCCGCAGACCCCACTGTGACGCTTGCTGCTACTGAAAAAATGTGCGAAGTTCTCATTTGCAAACATGAATCTGCTGTAATTTGCTTCTGTTTTGTGACTACTACTACTAGGAGCAAGGCACTACTAGGTGGAGGCCATCGCTATTAGGTTGGAGGCCATCGCTACTAGTAACAAGAAGCTATGGGAATCCGTGGGAACCTCTTCGCAGAAGCTCCGTGTGCAAGACCTGACGGTAGGATGAAGCGAGACGTGCAACCTCTCCCGATACGGTTAGCACTTCATCGCCTCATCGCATGATGGTCACGCCGTGACCAGGTTGGGCTCCTTCCTTGAGGTGACAGTTATCAAGCAAGTCAACCTCCAAACATCTCGAAAGACCTTCATTAGGCTGAAAGGGTAGACTGTCACCGTTGAAACCTGACATGAAGGTCATGGGTCATGTGTTATGACAATTTCATCTAGGAACATGTTTGATCCGTTTTGGATTTGCGGCTGCGATGCTCAAGTTTATGGTTCAGCAGATATTGTAGGTGTAGGAAAGACAAAGAAAAGGATGGGCTGCAGTCAAAGCGCAGCTGGGGTGAAAGGCCCTAGCTTGGAGCAGAAACAGGACGGACAATCCCCTATCCCGTCGGTGTTCTCTTTAGATGCAAGAACACAACCTAAAGACGCGTGGTATGGTTTGCAAGAATGCGTCTTGGAGGTCGTGATGTCTTGCGCTAGATTGCGTTGCCACCTTGTGTACACATGTAGTTCTGGTGTGTATTCTTTGTGGGAGTCGCGGTCACGAAGCCGCATCGATTCATGGGAAAGACTTCCCATCGACTTGGGGAGGGTCGGTTGGATCGACTTCGGGAGCCCCTAGTAGCGTCCTTGCTCCTAGTAGTAAGGCCAGGAGCCCCTAGTAGCTTCTAGCTACTAGTCCAATGAACATGATTTGTTTCTCAAGTGCTGCCATCTCAATGCGAGTGAAAGGGAGTGGCAGCATTGCCTGTGTGCTGCGTATGCAGATGAAGTTGAACTCTGTGGGGGAGTGAAGAATTCTTCCTACAGTAGAAAGCCAGCTGGAGGGAAGGACGGACAGAAAGAAAGAGGAGGTCAAAAGCTCTACTGTAAATCAGAAAAGAAGATGCCTAAAGATTCCAAAGATATAAATGAAAAGTTGAAGAAATGAAAGAAAGAACGGAAAAGAAAAGACAAGGGGTCTTTCACAATGAAAGAGCGAAATTAAGCCTTTTGCAGGATTGGAATGATGCCGTGCACACCTTTGGACAGACCGTGGAGCGGAAGAAGGTGAGTGACATGAGAGCTGGTTTGTTCGTCTCTGGATTTGCATGTTCTACCTCTGAAGTATGCAAGCAGCTGCTAAACAGCTGTTCGTTTGGCCTCGGGCCTCGTAGTTGTGAGGCCAAAGAGAGTGCCAAAGACAAGGACCCTAAGGAGGCTGGTACCACCCGGTTTGCCCAATATCGCTCTGGTAGCAGCCCTGACCGAGAACTCCCTTACCTCCATTCCTTCCCCCAAAAAACAATTCCCAAACACCAGTTGATCCATAGCGGAGGAAATGCTTTGCTCGGCTTCGAAATGTTTTTACGGATGAACATAGTGGAGGGGTAGAAGAACCGGTTGAAGTCAAGAGGATGTAGTGAGTTGCAGGCATTTTGTGAGGTTTTCAAAGGATAGATCGAGTGTGATGAGAGAATCTCTTGGGGGCCTCGGCCGGATTTTGTTCACATGTCGAGCAGGCTGGGGTTGATGAAAAGATCGCCGAGCTGAACAAATGTAAGATTCAGATTGGCGAGCGCAACCTGTCAAGATTCGAATTCGATTGCACCCCCCAAAAAAAAATGATATCTTAAATGAATCGAACAATCACCAAGGATCGGAAGCAGAATGTGCCCCACCTGAAGTGCAGTTGGACTTCGACTCCTGGAAGCATGAGGTCGGAATGATCGATATCACACCGGAGCGACACGCAAGCGACTGGGTCAGGTCGATTCTGCTGACTTGAAGAATATGAAAGCAGGACACGTACTGCCTGTGAACAAGCAACTCTTCTGAAGATCAAAGTTACAGTGCTTTCAACTCGGACATGCTGGCATACTTGTTTCCAAGGGCAGCACAGCAGTATTTCAACAAGAAGACGCAAAAGAGCCTGAGTGTGAAGCTCAGAATGTGTTCCACAAATTGAGCAAAGAGCAAAGGTTCGATTCTCCCAATTTCGCAAAAAGCACATCCTGTGCACTGCTTTTGAACAACGTGGTGCTATTTATTGCTTACATCAAAAGGAGACAGGTGTAGAAGGTTGTTGGCATCATCGTCACTGATTCCGTCAGACCGTTTGCTCCAACTGCCGTCCTCGTCACGACTGTGCCCACCATGTGAGCAAACCTGTTCACATGTGGTAGAGACAAGACACAGACATGCAGAAATGCATGCTACTGCTAACTGTTTATTGTAGTTCACCTGTTCTTCACCTCAATTTAAGAGCTACGCTTGGTACAATCCTGTTCCAGTTTTCATGTTGGTTTCGTTGCCCTTTGCTGTCCTCCTCATAATCTCTTGCCATGTTCAGTTTATATTCGCAATGGTTCTCATATTGGATCATGTACAGCTTTCCTTTATGCATGGTTGGGATAGGGCATAGGGCTTTCCTGGTCGGGGCATGGGGCGGCTCATGTAAATGTTGAAAGCTGGAAATATCAAATATGCTGACTCACAACAAGAGACGCCGCAATGTGTGATGAACATACCCGGCGCATAGGGGTTGGAATTTCCTCCACAAAATCGCGGGGGTTGGGACCCCTAGAAAGCGATGTTTTTAGCCAGATTTTCTTGGTTAACATGGAGGCTTGTAAGTACCAACCTGGAAGTTTCTCGATTTTATGGAGACCCGCTGGTTTTTTTCAAGCTCGATTCTACAGAGGTGTTGAAGTGATGGTGCGGTGGATCTTGGTGCCTCAGCCATACTGATTCTATAGAGAATTATTAGCATAGATTTGCATGTCAGGGACTGCAATTCTATGGAGATGACTTGGGGACGACCTTTGGACACTATAAAATCACAGACCTGTCCATAACGCCCTTTTTTCTCTATACAGTAAATTTGTGGTACTACCAGCTGGAGAATCAATGCCTTCCTGGACAGTTGCATTCATTCTTATGTTTTCTTCAGAACCTTGTACCTTGATTCATCTTGATTCTATAGAGTCCCATTTTCTCACTCCTATTGAAAAACGCCTGTTCGACGGTACCTCAGGACCTGCTTTTTATAGAGCAAAATCCTCATTGCTCGCAGCTTTTGACAGACTCATGGCCCTCAACTCTATAGAGCTGACTCCTTGTTTTTGCCTACGACGCTAACCGGGGCCCCGCGCGAAACCATCATATTTACCATGTTTCGGGTTTGGAAGACGTTCTACATGTTGCACAAGTAGACATTGTGCATGTTGGGGCACATGCGCAGGCCTCTGGTTTAGCTTCGTAGGCATTCATACTGTGTTCTTTGGTGTCATGCACATACGTCGGAATCGGTTGTGCAGACATGCAATCTCGCCATGGCAAAGCGCGGCTTCAAGCTCCTTGCGTTGGTCTTGCCTATTCTGTTGGGTAGGTCTTGTATTGCTCTGATTGCAATACCGCGAGTGACCCAAAACAAGCACAAATGTCCAAGCACCACGAGGAAAGCGTCATTGGAAGCCGGGGAGTGGGCACAAAAGATCGATCCATTCAGTGGTTGGGACATCGCTGAAGGAACTTGGGCAGGGACTTTGGGATGCAAACAAGAACCGTCGCTCGATTTCCAAACTGAAATCTTTGGTGGAAGTCGACGATTCCCAAAGCATGCAAAACGCCTTGCCAAGATCTTGGTGAGGAACGCCAAGAAGTCAGAGAAAGCTCGAAACATTTTCTTGCCGAACATCTCGTTGCCACTCATCCCTGTGAATGGGACGCAATTTCAGCATCTGGTGAGCAACGTGCTATCGGATGTGACCTTGACCGGAGTCACTTCGATTCATGCTGAACCTGGCGCGGGCAAGTCAGTCGCTGTCAGTTTGTCCATGCTGGGATGGGCTGCAGACAATCCACATTCCATCACCGTTTTGATCCGGGAAAGTTTAGAGAATCTCAGATACTTCTTTCGGGTTGGAGAAAATTAGCCTTGTGCCACATGTTGCAGAAATCGTTTTTGAGGAATTGTCCAACTCCGGAATCCCTCCGGAATCCGCTTGCAATTTGTTTTGGACAACGTCTTTGACAATGAGCTGGGAGCAGATGGGAGAATGTTGATGAGCCTCGCCCGTGCTGCGCACACCTTTGGACAGGTCATCGTGATTAGCCAATCTGAAGCAGTTGCGAAGGAAGTAGCCGTTAGCACCACAGCAGGAGACTGTGAGCAAGTACCGATGGAATGAGACGCAGGCATTCCAACTCTTGCTTTTCCTGAATGCAACAAAGAAGGTCGAGGTTTCCAGCAAGCGCCGAACACCGAGATGGTGGAGATGGTGGCGCACAATCCTGAGTATAGCCAAGAAGAAGACAACAGATGTGGAAGGGGTTCAGCAAGCAGTACGGAAAACTGCAGCCGAGTTCAGAGAGGATGATGTCCTGATCTCGAAGACTTTGGAAGGTTCAAGTTTGCCTGATGGCGGATGGACACCAGTGGGCATCAAAGAGTTCCTGCTTTCAGGTAAGAGGCCGGTCTTGGCTGTCTCAGCCATTGCAGGCGGGGGACTGGAGGGAAAGGGGGGAATGTGAGAGGTTTGCTTGCGGCCGTCCGCATGTCAATGTGTTGTTGCTCCAAGTAGCTGTTGCTACAACATTCCCTGTGGCCAGGAATGAATAAAGGTAGCAGCGGTCTAGAAGCAAATCCAGTGCTTTTGATGCCGAGTTGCCAAGCCCTTTCGCAGCAAAGCCGGAACACATCCAGTTTTCAATTCAATGGATTGAGTGCACTGGCAAGCCATTTGCGCCTGTCGCACCTACGGACGTATTAGGACGTAAGATGCTTTGAGAACCTTTGCACCCTGCTAGGTACTGCTGCCACGCAGACCAAAGCTGTTTGGGTGAGACAACTTCGCGAGGACTGCGACCTAAGAGATTGTTGTGATGAACCCTTCCAAGCTAGCGTTTCCTGTTGGTCATGCCGCCATGCCGCAATGCCTATCTTACAAAGCTTGATGTTGTGCAACCCAACGCATTGTAATGTTTTGTCCTTGGTAGGGTTCAGGATTCTTGGGGCGTAGATTGCAGGGTTGTTTTGGCTTAGGATTTGTTGAATGATGCCTTCCAGATTTTTTCTACAATTTATAATATAGAGACGTTTTAGACGAACGAGCTTGTATGTTTATCTTCCATGCCCTTGTTCCTTTGCCATGTCCTTTTGACTGTTCCTACTCAACATCTCACCTTTTGAGAGATACTGCAAGTGTTGAACAAGCCGCTTTGTCATCCCTATGTGTTGTTCCTTTCATTTGTTCCGTTGTGCGGTTCTTGTGCTAAAACTGGTGTTAATCGGTCATGCTAACAATGGTAGAGTTGTGCTCCGTCATTTCTCTCATTCAAGCGTCAAAGGCTTTGTAATTTGCAAAAGTCACTGCAACAGTTTATACTACCATTGGTTCATAATCAAAGTTCCTTGGCCTAGTGTTTGGTTAAACTACAAGTGGTTTGTTCAGCCGAAACTTCATCAAGAGTTTGCCCTCAGCCATGTTGCGATGTTTTCAAATGGTTGCATGATGTGTTGCCTTGCTTTTCACGCGCATTAAGTTTTTGCTATTGCTTCTGAAGCACAGCCAGCCAGACATTGGTTCAAAGGGTGGCGTTGGCATCAGGGCCTCTTGACACTCAACATCTCACCTATCACAGATACTGCAAGTGTTGAACAAGCTGCTTTGTCATCTCTTTGTTCCTTTCATTTGTTCCTTTGTGCGGTTCTTGTGCGAAGACCGGTGTTGATTGGTCACTGCAGCAGTTTATGCCTTTGTTCCTTTTTCAAACTTCCTTTGACTAGTGTTTTTTGGTTCAAATACAAGTGGTTTGTTCAGCCGAAACTTCATCAAGAGATTTCCCTCTACTATGCGTTCATGTCTTCCTCGCAAGTCAAGAGATTGGTGCGAGTAAGTCGGTTGTGCAAGACAGCGCCCTGTCATGGTTTGTTCTTCGCGGGGTTCAGGACTTTTGGGACAGATTGCAGGGTTGTTCATTGCTCAGGATTTGTTGAACAATACAATATCTTGCAACAATATTCTTTAGATTTTTTTACAGTTTCAAGCGAAGGTCTTTGTATGTCTTTTGCCACGCCCTTCCTTTGCCACACCCTTTGGCAAGTAAATGCCAGTAGCACAGGATCGCAACCGTTCTTGTTTAAATGTTCGGTTGCTGACCTTGCAGGACGGCGCCGGTGGCTATGACTTTGCCGGCAATGCGTTCCCAATCGATCCAGTACCCCAAAACATTGTACTCCTGACATGTCTTTGTTGAATGCTCTGTGGTTGGATGCTATTGTGAAAATTTGTTGGTTTCTCTGAACGGAACACCGCCAGGCATATTTGAAGAAGGTGCCGACCTCAGCTCATGGAAGCCCAATGACAAGCTTGATGAGTTGAGCAGAGTGTCCTTGTTAGCAAGAGATGCTGTGGGTTCATGGTTGGTGTTCATGTCCAACGCCTTTCACAAAACACAAGACTGCCTTCAGAAGAAAAATAGCATGGCGCTTTGAAGCAATGGCGTTGTCAAGCCATGATGGAAAGCAGCGCATTTTTTTGCCGAACGCTTTGCTGAAGTTCCGGCGGTGTCGTGGCCGTGCGCCCTGCTTCAAGGCGATTGAGAAGGAGATGAAGCTGACCATTGCTGCGCCCTTAATCGACATCTACAGCCAACAGGACGAGCGACTTTCGCCTCCAACCCGCTTCCAAGCTGCATGCGCTTCATTCTCTCAGCCTTCGTTCCGTTGACTCGGCGCTCTTCCGCAGGATGGGCAGTGGAAGAAGGAAGAAAAGCTGGATGCAAGCCTTCGTGACGCCGACTATGAAAATCCCTACGGCTACACAGTTGCGTGAAGGCTGGTCTCTTACCAAGCCACCTCTGCACACTTTGAAATCCAAACGAAATTGTCATCGTTGAAAGTCTCCGATTGAACGCGGCGCGTCAAAGCCATCCACTCAGCAAACCTTCAAGACGAGCGCCTTTCAGGAAAAGAACCAGCTTTGACAAAGCGTTTGTTTCGAGCTAGCGACAAGATGAAGTTGCCACAGCCGAAAGATGAGCAGCTGGTACAGAAGCCGAAGAGCTGTTCAGCACAGAGTTTCACCCAAGCACGGCATCTAGCACAGGACGAGATGCAAAAGCCAAGTCATTTGAATGAAAGGACAGAATAGCTATATATATAATAGAAGATGGGATATTTGGAATGTTACAGAGAAGCTGATTTGGAGCGGCTTTGAAGCTGTTGGTGAAGTGAAATCTCAAAGTAAAAAAGTCAACTGTGCGCGGCCTATTTGTCCAGGACATTCGGCATTTAGTCGTGTTTCATCAGAAAACCGGAAACGGTCTGGTCAATCTCGTCGAGAGAAAACCCGGGCGATCCCAAAAAGAGACAAAGGGGGAACCTTGAAAAGAAAACTATTATATATCTAAAGTATGTGGAGTTATAACGAGTTATGTGGTTTTTGTTCCTTTCACTTTCCTTTTGCTTACTTACTTGGAAACCTCGTTTTCCCTATATAACCTTGTTGTAAAAAATATTGCAAGTCTCTTTCTGATGGAACGTCATTTTATAGTCCTAGTCTCTTCTGGCTTATACTTCTGCAGTTCAGTTGGATTGTCATTTCATATCAAAGCAAAATTCCAGCTTTATGCGCCGCCGACCCACTTGCCAGACTTTATGTTGCTTAGAGTCAGTCACCTCATTTGATGGGTTTACGTAGGCTAGCATTTCAAAGAGAGCCGAGGTTGGACATCCCATTCTATAGAGAGGTGTTTCTATAAAGTGCTTCGTAAATAAACCTTTCAATACTCTATTCAGTGGGTATTGGTGAGCAGCAATGCGCCAGTCGAGCTTGTGGAAGATCCTTCATCGCTGAAGAAATCGGTGAATATGCGGCGCATGGAAATGGAGGAGATGTCTTTTTCCCGAAAGCATTGCGAAGGGTTCTTCTGGAAAATCCCTTGAACACTGACACTTCGACACTTACACTTACACACTGACACTTCCACCACATTTGCACTACATACACTGACACTTCGACACTCACACTTACACACTTCCTACACATACACTTCCTCACTTCGACATTAAGGGGAAGAGCGAAAGCATCCAAGTGCAAAGTATGCAAGTGTCAAAGTATGCAAGTGTAAGTATGCAAGTGATGGGTATGCAAGCACGCAGTGTAAGTATGCAAGTGATGGGTACGCAAGCATGCAATGAGCATGCAAGCATGCAATGAGTAGGCAAGTGTGAGTATGGAAAACTAGCACGGGAGATGTCCTAATGAAAAAACATTTCCCCACTCTATAAATTCTCTCTTAAAGGCGGAGGGCGGGACGAACAGCGTCAACCGAAAGTGCAACCCTCTGCGGAGATCGTGCGTGTCGAGTGCGCGAAATGCAGGC